ACAAATGAGTAGTGGAGGCTGAACTGCTTCAAGGCAACTCTGGGGTGGCTTTAGGTGTCAAGAACTGGGGAAACCAGTGAAAGAAACACCTGAGTAAGCATTTAGAGGACTGTTTGGGAACTGGCAAGCACCTTGTGATCTGCAAGTGCTTTTTTCCATGGAAAGAGCAGAGCAAACAGATAGCAGTTTAACTGCTACAGGTTTGGTGTGGGTTGTGTTTTGGTTTTTTTTTAATATAAATTGATTTATGCAAAAGAAGACAGAACATATTAGGAAACTGCAAACTGGAAAGGAAAAGGTGCTGTGACAACCTGAGGATGATGTCAGGAGGTGCTCAGGTGAGTGGCCTGTGTGAGGATGTCCCAGGGCACAGAGCTCAAGGGCAGATGTGACATTAAGACTACCCCCACACACAAGGTAGTTCTGGGCTAAGGTACCTGGCCCTTCTCTGGATGAAGTTGCTGAGGTGCTGCTGGCCAACCAACAGTGTGCCAATGTGGTTCTGTCACTGCTAGTGTCCCCAAACTACTTTGGATGTCTCTGTCCTGCACTGATGCAGAGGCATCATGACTTGTGACTTTGGCACATGCTCTCACCATCTCCATAACTCTGCTTCCTCATTCATAAGCTGGAGCAAATATACCAGCTGATGTCAAAGGAATTCCTGAAGAAATAATTAAATATTGACCACACTTTAGCAAACTTGCAATAGATATAACTCCAGGGAATGGAATTTCAGCATAAATTTTTTTTTGAGTTCAGTCCTCTGGACACTAAGCAGGCTACAGCACAGTGAATTTATTTTTCTTGGCTTACAAACATAATAGCTGCATGATTAATAATCCTGGATGAACTATGGATTTTCTACCTGCTAAGCATATTGCTTAATTCTTCTACATCTGCCTCCCTTTAACCCTCACAACCCAAAACGTAATAATTTTATCTGAATTTTCGGTTATGAATAGGAAAGAGAAAGCAAGGTTAAAAAAAAAAGTCTAAAAGTGCTAATAAATACTGTTGTCACGTGAAAAGTTCTTCCTCCCCTCAGCCTTCAAATTACAACTGGAATGTGGTTTAAAAAGAAAAAAAAGCACACCAAAAACAAACCACAAAGAAAAACAAAAACAAAAGCAACCAAACAAAAAAAAACCCAGAGGAAAAAGCAGATCAAATATTTATGTTGCCTGCAGTCATACTGGGGGCCTTTCCAAGAATCGTTCATCAAACATTCAAATGACATGAGAAAACTTACATCATAAAATGAAGTCTGGCCATATTTGGGGAGTGACTCATAAAAACCTTTTAAAGAAAAAGCATGATTGTGTATATGGAGTGCAGGCAGGCACTTACTGAAAATTAATATTTTTGTTCTTCTGCATGTTCAAAGAAAAAAGTCACGAAAAATTGCGGGAAAGTGTTGTGTTTACAGGAGAGAATATGAAAGATAATTTAAAGATTAGACTCATTTTGTTTTGACTACTAAATACAGCTTTAGTGTTAATAAAGTAAACATTTTCAGGTATAAACTCAAGTCTTGACACTGGGAAAAGGTAATTTTGTAGGCTCAGTGTAGCTTCAGTCTGCACTTATACATCAAAAAGGCGTAACTGTACGAAAAGTGTTCTGATTCTTTTTAATATACCATAGTTTCTGGTGGGGATAAATTTATGATTGATGTTCCCTCTGCTGGTTTAGCACTTTCCTTTCCTGAGTATGAATAAATCATACTGTTACAAACATAGTTCTACTGTTGGAAAAGGATCTGCGTTAGAGTTAGGTTTGTACAACCAGAATAATTCTAACTTTAACTCCTTTGAGGAAAAACACAGTGTAAGAAAATTTTGTTAAAACTTCTCATGGTTAAACAGGGAAGTGTAGGAAAAAGCTGCTTTGTTTTGTAGAAAAAATAAGTGAAGTCCTTTCATTAGATAAGGTGGTCACCTGGTAAGTGAGGCAGAATAATGCTATGATGACAGAGAGTTGTGTGGGGTGGCGTTTTAAGTAGGTAAGTTTTAAAGTTCTGTAATACAGGCAATTTATTTTTGTAGGTGTTCCATGATTCTCTTGTAAGCAAAATTGACTGCTAACATATTACCTTTAAAAAAATAAGCTACAGTTAAATAAAGTGAATCAATGAAGCAGAATCACGAATTATTTGCACCTACAGCTTAAAACTTTAAAGCTGAAATCCAGTATTAGAGCCTGGAATCAAGGGTGCTATTGTCTTTGAAAAGCATCACCTTTTCTATGGGTTTTACCAAGAAAAATTAAAAGGCAAAAAAAAAAAGGCAAAAAAAGGCTTAAGAACTGAGGTGCTTTAAGTAGTTTCTCTTTTAAAAGAAAAGATGCATTTTTTTTTCTCAAGTATGACTATTTTGAGCAGTGCTTTTCCTCACATGAACTTTCTCATCTAAAGGGTGCTGTTTCCTTTCATATTAAACAAGATAAGACTAGAGAAATGATTACTTCCCTTATTTAAAAAACATGCTCTTTTTATCTCCCAAGGGTTAAGAGTTAACTAACACTCCATGTGCTGGAAAGCAGAATTTGTAGAGTGGAACAAAACCAGTTACAACACCCCACAGAAAAGGGAAACAAGGGACACCAAAGGTGGGGAGTCACCAGGGTCAGGAAAAAACACAGCAAGGCTTGTAAGGAAGGGTTACTGAATATGCCTTTGATGTTTTAATTATGATTTTTTTTCTGAAGTGTTGCAATCACTCACAGAATGTCTTGGTTCCAACGTTTGATTATTTTTCCTCTGATTGTCTCATTTTTGTCATCATCCATGCCAAAGAAAACCCAGGCATAAAAATTTATTCTGTAAAAGAGATGATCTAATGAAAAAAATACAGTGACTGGAGCCTCCCATGTCACAGGTTAGGTCTGTTTATGTCTCTGTATTTGTCTCTTAGGAAAAACCTGTTCGCTCTGGCATGGTCACGTGGAAATGAGCTCTTTGCTGGTACTAGTAACTGGCTGGTTATTTGTTTGCTGTTTGTCAGTCATGCCTTCTCTCTTCACATGTAACTGGGTTTTTTTAGCAGTTTGCTGTCTTCTATCTTGAATGGCTGCACCCTTTCTATGTATTATTATTATTATTCTCCTTTAATATCCAGGTTCAATAAGCAAACCATCATAACTTGTTTCACAGAATGGAAGAGAACAAAGACTACTCAGGTGTAGCTATATCATGAAATCTTACCCAAATTTTACTCAAGCAAGCTCCTAGAGATCTGTGAAAGTGTCAGAGGTTTGGGTTTGGACCAACAAAAATTATATCATAAGTAATAGTGACATAACTGATGGGAAAATGAGTACAGGCTGTGGAGGATGGGGTAGAAACACTGTGCTGCCCTCCTTTATCAGAGGGGGCAGAGGTGGTGAATGGTTGGTGAGTGGTTTTCTTAGATAAACATGACAAAAATGTTCAGAAATGTCCATAAAACTGCAACATCCACAAATCTCGTGCATGTGCAGGACCTGCAGAAAACAGAGCTGTCCTGTATCCACTCTATAAGGAAGCCAATCTTGGGAGGAGGAGAAGTCTAATTTCCATCTGACCTCCTCACAACCTGAAGCTCCTCCGCACAGAGGAGCCTTAGAGGTATTTTAAATCCCACCACACAACACCATCATAACACCAACATCAATTTTGCATGGAACCTAAACCATGACAGCACTGTTTTGGGGACACTAAATCCCCAGGGTTGTTGTCCTCTGGAAAAATTTTGGTCTGTTTCCAACATGTGTAACATGGGCCTCAGGATGTTCTGCTTTTCATTCTTTTCCACCTTATCCAGTCCTTTGCTACCAATTCCACATACAGGCAGTGCCTGGACAAAGAGGTGCAGTTGATAGATGTGAGACAGTGTTGGTGGTAGTAGGAGGTTTTTTTTGTTGTTGTCCTTTAATTTTAGAAAAAAGCTTTCTACAAGGGATAGCTGAATGGGGACCTCAGTCTGGACCCTGTAAAGTTTATCCTGTCACCAGTCTCTTATGACTCAATAAAACAGCATGGAGTATTCAATGTTTTTTTGCTATGACAGTTCTTATCCTGGTACCTGTGGAGTGCCTGTTCTCTTGCATCTGTCCAGAAACTCATCTGACAGCAAAGCATGTGCATGTCTTCAGCTCAACATAAGAAAAGTTTAAGCTAAGGTTATTTGCTGGGAGAAAGCAACTTTAAGATGAAAAGAAAAAGTGAGCAGAAATGAAAGAGGCTTTTTATTTTTAGGAGAGAACTTGGGTTTGAGTAACAATTGTTGCAGAGTTCAGGACTGTTGTTAGCAAAGAAAGGGCTTGTGGTCTTGTAAGAAGTTTAATATAGCACTGCTGGTTGACAGCTATGGTTCTCTGCTACATGGATTCTTTCATTTTTTGTTAGTCTCTGTAAAAAGCTTCTTGTCTGGAGATTGGCTGTGATTTAATGACATTCTTCTAACCTGACTGTTCATGACAAATTCCTGAGCACTTCAGAACATCTAAAGTACATTTAAATCCTTGAAGGTTTTTTATTTTTCCCTAAATCACAGGATGTCCAGACTTTGCACACAAGGAAAAACATAGTCTTGGAGTGCTTCCAGCAGCCTGAGAGCTGCATTTTAGTCAGGGTAAAGACAATATACTGCATGTAGGCATACTTGTGAACCAGAGGCAATGCTCTGCCTCAAAAAGGTGAGCATTTGGCAATTGACTGCAGGCTGAAATGCCACCTGCATACTTGTGCCAGGATGGAGCACCTGATGTTTTTGTCCCTGAAGCTGCACCTGGAGCCCAGAGGGTGAGGACTGACTGCACTGCACCGATCTCCATCTGCACTATTTCATTTGCTGTACGTTGACAGCTCGTGTGCTCTTCACACAGTGTAGTTATTAGTACCACAGAAATTACCTGTTTATTGCCCCCTTTCAGAAGGGTCATAATAGCAACTGCAAAAACCTCTTCAACCCTGTTTGACTTGCCTCCTGATGCCTGCTGTTGTTGCTTCTGTCTTTCAGCTCGTCACGAAGTCATCACCAAAGAGATCCTTGAGCTGGATACATGGGAGAACCAGTGGAATGTGGTGGCCACCAACGTCCTCATGCACGACAATTATGATGTTTGCCTTGTTGCCCGGCTGAACCCACGGGATCTTATCCCTCCTCCTCCGGATTTAGTGGACCAATAGAAGTTCAGTGACTCTCAGCGCTTCCAGACTCTGCAGAAACTGAAGAGTATGGAGAGACAAATGCTGCATTGGCTCTGGGTGAGAGCTGAGTGCCACGGAGAGGAAATAGCAACACGTGTTCAAGGACAGAATTGCCTTTCAGCTGTGCTTCTTGGACAATGCTTAATTTGCTAGTAGTGGTACTCTAGCCTTCTTGAGCCATAGTGGGCAATTAACAGGTTTATTTTTCATGCAGCACTGGCAAGTGACCTTCCCCTGCATGCACCAAGCATCACCTTTCCTACTGCTCACAGGGTCTGACTGTCAGTGGGGACTCTCGTGTGTGTGTGTGTGTGTCTCAGTTTCTGCCCAAGTTGGAATGTCTAGTGCTGTATAGCAAGCAGGAGAATTTTTTTTTCTGGATTAAATACCTAAAATGGGGACACTACCTTCTTAATTTTATGTTGTCCCTATGTAGTTCATGGGTTCTCCTTGGGGTTACTACAGTTTCTAAACCAATATTTGGAAATGTAGCTTGGCTGAGGAAGGAAGACGAAGAAAGCACGTTTATTGAGAGCTATAGATCTCAACCAAAATCCTTCTGAGACTATAAGAATACTGCAGGTCTGCTATGTCCATGGATAATCTCACATTGCTTGCTGGTAAAGTCCTTAAGAGTCTTAATTTCTTCTATGACAAAACCTGATGCAAGAAAAATTATTAAATAATTACAGGTTATGCATTCTCCAAGCTTGTGGGTTTCACTGAAATAATACTTTACTGCAGCCCCTTCCTGTCTGAGCAGTAGTTAGCTGAGTGTTTCATCAAGGCTGATTTGACATTATCCATAACTCTAAAACATAAGCAAAGCAATGCTGGAAGCTACTAGCTGTTTAAATGAATGAGGGGTTATGAAGCAAAGGCATATGCAACAGTTTCACCTGGTTTCCAAATATGAAGAAAAATTTTGGAGAGGTAGCTGGTTGTGTGGCACACAGGGAGTGAAGCAAAAAAAAAAGTGCTATAAAAAGCTAATTGAAGCTCTACATATTTATCCCCAGATAACGTTTTATTTTGAAATTGTACATATATAACTGATTGCATAAGGGTCCCTGCAGATTTCTCATCCCTGTTTTTGTATGTGTGGTCACAGGAACTGCCCACATATGTAAACCATCAGGCATCTGACTACCTACCCTCACTCACCACTGCTGGGACTGCCTATGGCTCAGTCCCTGCCCATGCCAGGCAAACACACACACATTTTGCACGTGTGCAATATCAAAATTTGTGGGGCAGTGTCTGTATTGTGTTCCAGCAGACACACACTGCACTTGGGAAGCCTTGATTTGTCAAAAGAAAATTGCCTTTGTGCACAGAGAGCTGTCAACTCCTCTACCAGCACTCCCAAACATGCTCCAGGTAAGAGGCTGAGGGAGTATCAAAACTGAGAGACCGGCAACAAGACGTGAGAAGTGCTCCCAGAGTGTTACAACACGCAGTGGAGCCAAGGTGGGGTGAATGATCCTCCCCATCTTCTCCTAGTCATGGTTCAGATGCAAAAGGGTTTGGCCCTGGATCCTTGCCCTGTATTTTCAAATCTACTTGAAATGTGTAATGAGATCCATGATCATCTAAAAACCAGTGGGAAAAATGCTATAATAATTTCTTTTTATGTTAAAATATATTCATAAAGATCTATGTTGCTTTTCTGCTGATTTAGTAGATGATGACATTCTTTTAATAAGCTGTTTACCTAGTGATTGTTATCTTAGCTATGGGCATGGTCCCTTTCACAGGCTGCTCTCCTAATGGATTATGCAGCTCCTCTGAAAATATGTTCCATGAATCACAATGCTCTGAAAAATCACCTGGTCAGAAATTCAGTTACTCATTTGCAAATGTCTGTGTCTCTCCCTACAGCTTTTCAAGTGGACTCTAGCTCCAGCTTCAAAGAAAAGCTATTTCACCCCCAGTTGTGCTCAGCTGGAACTAGTACACTTGCAATTTGCTATCATTTGACATGCAGAGGTTGAAAGCAAAGCAAATATTGGAAAATGGCTAAAATATACATAAAAAGTACCCGGAAGTGCACTTTCCTTCTTTCTTGGTGAATGTCTCCTTGGTGTGTACTGCCCTGCCTGGTGTCTGATGGAAGGATTTACTAATCACCCACGACTGCAGTCACAGCACAGACCAGGCTGGGGCCACGTGTTTGTGCTGCCAGGGCAGAGGGACCCAGCGTGGTGTGGAGCTGTGGCTCCTGACAGGCTGGCCTGCCTTGCCACAAGGAATTACCTTCAAACAAAAATGCATGTGAGTGTCCCATGATGGGCACTCCTGTGTGTTTTATATACATATGTATAAGGTTAGCTTTAGAAGTACTTTACTGACAGCAGTAAGATCCTTTTTTATAAAACATACCTAGCAACTGTCTTCTGCATAGCTCATCAGAATACTTAAAAAAAGGTTCTGGTCTTTAAATAATTGGAACAATTCTGGGCTTCACATCCAAAAGAACCTTAAATTCCTTGCTGAGGTAAGAAACAAATGGAGAAATCATTTAGTACTCCCCTATGTCTTCCTTTTTCTCCAATTTTTTGCTAGATGTAGCTCTCCCCTCAGAAGCTGAGTTCTCTTGAAAGCTTTGTGCAAGTCTCTTCTGTTTCTCTTCCCTTAATCCCATTTCTGCCTCAGCCCACTTGTCTGACCAGCCCTTAAATCCTTTGTGTCCCCTTCAGTTCCCCAGAAGTTGGGAACAGCCACCCGAGGTGTTCACCAGGCTCCAGACCTCACGGAAACCTATCGCTCCAGCAGCAAACCATCTTTGAAGGACAGAGGGAAGATAGCAGCCCCTGGGACTGGAGGACATTCATCTTTGGGCAGGTTCTAGCCCTAGCCCAAATTCTGGTGTTCATTCTCATACCAGATAAAACCTGCCTGCTCTGCAGTGTCACTGGTCCTCTGACTACAGCTGGGGTTGGAAGGCGGGTGACCTGTGTTCTACTTAGCCCTGCCACTGTCTCCCTGCATGGTGCTGGTAAGTTTGACATTAAGTGCCTTGCATACTGTGCGTGCCAGAGCTGTAATGACTGCAGACACAAGCCATTATCATTATCTCTGATTTCTGAACACTAGTTGCTAGAAAAACTGACTGAAGCACAGAGGGAGGCGTCTTCATTATCTCATTATAACTCATGTCTTAAAGCCAGACTTCCTCCTGCATTTTCATCCAGGCCAGGTTTCACTAAAGAACTGAGTCTCTAATTTATCTGGGTTTAATATTGGTATTTTTTCTCCACTTTGTCCTTTTCTAGTCATTCTTCATAATGATGCAAGTGACTTCACCAGCTTTCCTATGGAATGCATTATCCAAACTGGACTCCTGAGGCCGCTGGCTTTTCATTATCAGGGTCGAAGTACAACCACTAAAAGTGCCGGTCAGCTGCACTACTTTATTTTCTCATTCAGCATCTTCATAGTAGAGGAAATGTATTTCATCCATACATGCAGTAATGTGAGAGGAAACCACTTCCCACATACACAAATTCCTGACTCATTCCTTTTGAATGTGGCTGAAACAACTGCTGAATCCAAACATAAAATGCTTTGATAGCCATTCAATAGGCTTTTTGCAGGATTTCCAGTATGAGGAGGAGGATCACAGGGTGATGTCTTGTAACTAGAGCACAGGTTGGAAATTTGAACCTCTGGGGTGTGTTTTCAGTTCATTGACTCCATGTACTAGTTTTGGGAATTTGGTCTCCTCTCTAAGGTTCACCCATGTAAAATAGTTAGAATAATACATCTCTACTTGTTTTGTGTGTCTGCCTTGCTGTGTTTTTAGAGGGAGTGGCTCACATGTCTGTGATGTTAAGATCCAGTTATCAAAAAGTGTTATACAATGGTAGAGCAATAACATTGCTGCACTGCTGTCATCTCCTTGATTTTTGGCAACATGGTTGTCTGTATCATTCAGAAATTGAGCCTTTCTGGGATAGGAGATGTTTGCAGCTAACAAGGGCACTTTGTTTACTGCTTCATAGAAAAGCAACAACAGATATCTAATCCTGTGATACATTAAGTAGAAGAAATGTAGGGCTTATTACATGTGCCTTCATAGCTAGTCTTGTTTGTACACAGGCAGAACTAATCTCAGTGAATTGAGAGGTCACTAATTGAGGCTAAATTTGAACTGCAGTAATTAGAAGGATGAATGAACTGTATTTTTCTCAAAGCAGATTTGATTTATTAAATTATTCCACTTGGATAACCACAGTTGCTATGAAGCAAAAAAAGAGAAGGTGCTTTGCAGAAGTGTAGTAGATTTACTGGGTAACTGAGACTTGAATTTAGATGATCTACCACATCTTCGATAGGAAAGCTTCAGCTCTCCAGGGATTTCTGTAACAAACCTGTGATGCATTTAACTAGCCACTAAAAGGCACTGCTGCATCCAAGGAATCACCTACAGATTATGCATAAAAGGGTTTTAGGATATTGCTGAAGTGTAAACAATGTGGCATCTACTTGCTTAGTTACAGAACTGAGTAAAACTAAGTAAAACTTAAAGGCTTCTTAATTTGCTCATTCCTTGACCATCCTTCCACAATGTCACCCTGTAAGGTTGTGTTGCCCACTTAACCAATTAAACAGTCTACAGGTACATTACTAAATGCATAAGGAAAGGTAAGAAAACAAAAACGTAAGAAAGAAAGTGGTCTTTAAAGGTTTCTGATATATTCTAGCCCATCTTTTCTGTCAGCTGGGACACACCTGCACTTAAGAAAGCTATAGCCATCTTGCAGTTGCGAGAGGTGATTTTAAGCTGAATAGATGTACCCAAGCCAGATGTGATGTGATGCAGTGATTAGCATGTGAAGATTCAATAGTCCAGGTGCCAGCTGCCGTAGCACTTCAGTGTGATCTTTAGCTGGCTTGGACAGCCCATGATGAAGCCCAAGCTGTTACATGCTCACTGCTCTCATTAATTATCAGGCTCAGCTGAAGATAACTAAGGTATTCGCTCATGTTGCAGTCAGAACTCCTAAACAAGCATGAAAAAGACTAACTCTGTAATTCAGCTGCAGGACTAAAAAGTCCTTTGCAGCCAGATCATTTTGTGGTCCATGTTGCCTTGAAGCTACAAATTGCTTATACTGGCACAGCACAGAGAGAGGCACAGGGAACAAGTGCTCACTAACTGGTGTGTGGCATGGCAGTCGCTTGTGCCAGCCCTGCCACTTGAAAATTCACTCCTCAAACTGTGCCTTGATGCACCAGCGTTCACCTCAGCTCTGGAGCCAGCCCACTGTAAAGCTGGCTCTTCAGAGTGCTCTAAGGGGACAAATAGTCAAAGACTACACAGAGATTGATAATTGCTCCAAAGCCTTGTCGCGATGGTGCATTAACAGCTTACGGCTCGATGGCTTCTCAGGCTCTTACACAAAGATGCCAAATAGCATGTGAACAAAACCACAGGATAGCTCACCCTCTTTCCAGTATTCACAGTTGATAAAACCTTCCTAAAGGTTTTCATTCAGTATTTTTCAAAATGGGTTAAGAATCCACCCCTGCTCAGCACTGCAGCACGGAGCACTCATCTGATGCCCAAAATCACATCTCTCTTGCCAGGAAATTTGCTGTACTAATGCTGCTATCCTAAGCAGCTCAGTCTCTAATCTGATTTCTTTGTTTCTTATTTCAGGCAAGCCGCTGTAATAGCAACATTCAGTAAAGGCTGCTAAGCCACTTGGCATGTCTATAAAACTCAGCCGTGTTAGCTGTTCTCTTGCTCTTCCCAGTTGGCCAGGGGCCTGCTCACTTGCATTTAAGGAGGACTTTAATGTGTTTGTACTCCTATGATATTGCACAGATCAGCGTGTAGTTACTGTTTTATTTCCCTAGCTGAGCTAGATAAATATTGAAAAAGACTTCTATGGCCTACGTTTATAAGGAAAGTAAATCTTTATAAGTAAAAATTCAAAGTGAAGCTGTAGCTTGGGGTTTTTTGGAACCATCTGTGCTCTGTATATTTAATCATATTTCTGTTGTTACAGGATTTGCTGGATACATTTTATAAAATGCATTAGGAGATCCACAGGGATGTGATCCACTCAGAGGCTGTGACCCAGCAGGATTTTTGGCAAATGACAGTAGTAGGAGCAGGATCAACCCAAGCCTGTCATCCTGTTAGTATTTTAAAAAGCTTTCTCTGAGATTGATGGAAAAATAATAATCAAAAGTTGATAAAAAGATGTGATATATTGTAATTTATATCTAGTTTGGATTTAAACTGCAATTTTTTGAAGGAAAGAGTTATCAAGTAAGCACTACATATGCTTAACCTGAATACAAGCCTGAAATGATCCAGCTCCTGAAAATCACTGTTGTTCCACTGAAAAATATGGGTGGATCAGTTCTAGAGAAGGAACCAGCTATTGGGATCAACATAAAACCCACTCATAAGGAGCCACCCACAAAGGTAATCTGCTCTATTTAAATTATAGTAGGTTTTTCAGGGGCCTTTGTTACAAATCTACACCAAGTTTCATGTCGGTAAAACAGCTGAGACAAAACTGAAGTCAGAGAACACTGGAAATACAGCTGCCCAGGGACAGCCCACAGTTCAACTGCAG